GTATCAGTGATTGTTTGGCTTTTTCAATTCTTATGCCTTCCATTGAACCACTACGATCAATAAAAAATATATAACAACCCTTTTAAATTTTTGCCTATGATGATAAATTTAAACCATTTAGATATGATTGATAAGCATCATCTATTGGAAATTCATTAAATTTTGGAATGAGGGTTAGAGTTGCACAATATTTGATGTGTTATAAAGCATCATTATTTGTATGGCTTAGTATTGCAAAAGGGTTATTAACATCATTGGAGGAAAATAATAATTCAAACTTTTTATTTGGTGCCATATTTTCAGGATCATTCATATCTAAAGTAATAATTAATTAGTTCTAAGGAGTTTATAAATCAATTTATTTTTCTTTGACATTAATATCAGAATTTAATAAAATTGAATGTGTTGGAGATTTAGCATATGTAATCGGTTTTTCCATATTAATTATTACAGTAATATTTTACTTATAATTTAATTTCATTGCTTAAATGTTGACATGGTTTTTCACAAATGAATATTATTAAGCATAATTTGTAGATGTGTTCTTTAATTCATTAACTGCAAGATAACTTGTATCTATCATAGAAGACAATTCTAATTTCCAAAATTAATTTAAAAATACTCATAATTGTTGGATGCATTCAAATTAAATTGTTAATGAATTACTAGGACTTAAACGACCAATTTTTACTTTTTGATATTTGATATTTTTGAATCCTCTTTGATTAATACCACGGTCTTTCCTTCTTATATTCCCTTTTCATATACTTTTTTTGCTTCTTCTAATTCTTTTACAACACCATAAACCTTTTAACCTCCAAGTTCAGCTATCATCTTAGTAACCTCTGAATTTTAATCTATTGTAAAAAAGTTATCTGTTTTATTCAGTTGAATAGATTTGACATATATGCACTACTGCTAAACCAGGTTATATATTAACAGTATATTAAACTTATTTTAATTCTATAAGCAATTTTGTCTTACTATCATAACAAACATTATAGGTTATGCCTACTTTTTTTTAATTGTGCTTAAACTGCTTTTTTTCTTATCATCCAGTTTAGGACTAAACATTTAAGTTAGATTGTTATTAATAATTTTTATATTTGATATGCTGAAGAATCAAATATAAATGGAAATTAATATATATTTTATCAGTATTACATCATTTAATTAACCAAATTTAAATATTAATAATTCAAATTTCCAAACTGAGAGAAATCTAAGAAAGAATATCATAATTTAGCTAAAAAGAATGTAAGAAATATAATAGTGATATCTATCGCAAGATAAATATTGTTGAATGATTGTACTTTAATAAACAAATTAAAGATATTTCATTATAAAGAATCAAAATAGTGGCTTAATAATAATAATTAAAAAAATGATCATTATTTATGATAAAATACTTTAAAATAATAATAGTTGGATTAATCCAAATTTTATTAGGGTCTTAATTTATTATATATTTCTATTTTTATCAGTTTTTCTCTTAAATCATAGACAGTTATAATCATATTTATAGCTCATTAAGACATATAAAAATGGTTATAATACATAATAAATACTGTTTTTAATATTAAGATTATTTTTTAATTAATCGATTTAAATGACCTATTATTTGAATTAGAAAGATGCTTTTACCTTCATGCTATAAATTAATTATAAAACCTGTTATTGTACGACATTAGGTGCAATTGATATTTAATAATGAGTTTT